ATACCTCTTCCACCTCTCTTATTCATTTATGCAATTTTTCTTTTGAGTGTAGGTGAATGTCTACTGTTTGCTAGAAATTATGCCAGGTGCTGATATTATAAAAAGTTAATCAGACAGTAAAGTGGTAGAGGCTGAGACAGAGACAGACATTTTCTTAGTCAAGTGTTGGAGTCCCCAAGATCAGCCATCTAGCTATCTGTGGGAGTCAGTGGTGCAGTGTGTGAGCTGAGTCTTGAGGAAGGAATATTTGCAAGGCAAAAAGAAGAGGAGGTGGAGGCAGAGACTTGATGTATTTGGAGAGAAAGAGAAAGAGAAACTGCCAGAGTGGATTGTCAGCGAGTGGAGTCTAAGGATCACCTCAAGTTCCCCACTTAACAAGGACTTCCTAAACAGCAGTGAAGGAGGAGACTTTTAATGAGCTATGTCTGACAGGTCCACAAGCTACCCCACAGGATTTATCAAGTAGGCAGCTGGAAGTGGAACCTGAAGTTGAGAAGAAAGGCTCATACTGGAGATGAGGATTGAGAAACCATCAACGTGATGATTGTTAAGATGGTGGGAATCTGTGGCAAAGCCCAGTGAGTAAGAACCCATGCAGAGGAAAGAACCCGTTCTGCTCTCAGCTCCCCACCACACTGCCCTAGTGCCTCATTCTCTACCTCAGCCCTTTCTCTTCTTCTAAATTCTGCCCAGGAGCTACTTGAAGTACAGCTCTGAATCTGCCAATCTCCTCTCAAATGTCTTCCAAATGTAGTGCAAGCACCACAGCTTTGAGTTTAAAGCTCTTTGTGGTTTGTGCCAAACACGCCACTCCATCTTATTTCTGGGGGTTCCCTGTGAACCAACCAGGAACTGACATATCCCTGGACAGGTCATCTACCTTCATCTCTAGTTTTGCCATGCCAATTCCTCTGCCCATGTGACAAAAGAATGTGAGCTTTAGAGGCAGAAGTATTTTTATTTAAATACTGACAAACTCTTCCATTAACTAGAAGAGTCAACTTGGGTAATTTGTTGAATTATTTAGAATCTATTTCTTCACATGCTAAAAAGTCATATTGAATCATTGTAATTATGATAGTGTATTTAGACATAAATAAATATGTTGTTGACATAAATAGGTGCTCATCAAATATTAAGCTCATTTATTAAGCCATACACCTCTTTTCCACTTGCCATAGTCATGTTCCAAGGCAGGATTTTTAAAGCTTCACACTTGTTAGAAACCATTTAAATATGCCTCATCAATTCATTTTGCTCTCTTTATCCTTCCACTTTAGCAAATAACACAAGTTATCTGTTCCTCTACCATATCATGGATTACTTGGTATGAGAAACATTGTGTTTGTAGCATTATTGTCTTGCAAGCAGTAGGTGTTTGAATTGAGAACTGTAAATTTTACTATAATCTACACCCCCCCATCTCTCTCTTTCTTGATAATAGCTCTATTAAGATATGTTTAACATGCCTTACAGCTCTCACATTTAATGTCTATAATTCAGTAGTTTGCAGCAAATTCGGAGTTGTATGTAGATCACTATAATCAATCTTAGAATATTTTTATTGCCCCCCCCCAAAAGAACCCCTACACTTTAACCATCCCCCCGCCCCCCCAACTTCCAACCTCCTTAGATTTGGGCAACCACTGATGTATTTTTAAGATTTCATATAAATGGGATCAAAATATCCAGTCTTTGTGACCAATTTCTTTCACTTAGTATGATGTTTTCAAGGTTCATTTTATACCCTGTATTCAGTACTCCAGATCTTATTATTGCAAAAAAAAATTACATTTTTTGCATATATCATATTTTGTTTCTGGTCATCAACTGAAGGACATGTGGGTTGTTTCCACTTTGGGCTATTATAAATAATGCTACTATGAGCATTATTTATGAGCATTTTTTATTACTATTCCTGGCTATTGTATGTTTCTTTCTTTCTCTTTTCATGAACAGGTTTTTTCTATATTTTTATTGATGTATTATAGTTGTATGTAATGATGGGATTTGTTGGTACATTTTCATACACACACACAATATAATTCGGCCAATATCCCTCCCCCGTATTTCTCTCCTTTCCTCCCTCCCCTGGTCCCTTTCCTCCACTCTACTCATTTCCTTTGGATTTTCATGAGATTCCCCACACACATACACACACACCTTTCTTTCCCTTTTTCCTCTTTGTCTTCCACATATGAGAGAAAACATGACCCTTGACTTTCTGAGTCTGGCTTATTTCACTTAACATAACCATGAACAGATTTTTGTGTGAACATACATTTTCATTTCTCTTGTTGGACCTGTGGGTGGAATATGCTGAGTCATATGGTAACTCTTCTGTCTAACCTTTTGAGGAACTGCCAAACTCTTTTCTAAAGCAGATGCATTATTTTATTTCTACTAGCAGAATATGAGGGTTCCACATCCTTGCCCATACTTGTCACTATCTGATTTGCTTGGGTGTTTTTCATTTTTTTTTTTAGCCCAGGGATGCTAAACCACTGAACCACACCCTCAGCCCTTTTATATTTTATTTTGAGACAGGGTCTCACTAAGTTGCTTAGGGTCTTGCTAAGTTGCTGAGGCTGACTTTGAACTTGGGATCCTCCTGCCTCAGCCTCCTGAGCCACTGGAATTATAGGAGTGTGCCAGTGTGCCTGGCTATATTGTATGTTTCTTTCTTTCTTTTTTTATTTAATTAATATAGCATCTTAGTAGAGCTATATTGTATTAGTGAAATATTCTTAATTCATTCAGTCTGTGTTTTGTTGAGTGCCCTCTAAGTGCCAGACACCATTCTCAGCTTTTGGAACCACTGGTGAAGTTAAAAGACAAAAATATCTGTCCAGGGGGAATCTTAAGTTCTAATGGGAAGAAAGACAAACAATAAGCAATAAATATAATAAATTCTTATTCAAGTTTCTGGCTAAAATGACATCTCTTTGTTCTGTGCTAATTAGCAGTAAAGATTTTTTCTTGCAGTCATTTTTACCTCTTTATCTTAGAGTTGAGATCGAGTCTCACAACTTTGCCCTGGCTGTATTCAGTCTACTGGTGGGTGATAGGCATCATAGGAAAGAGGAAGAAAGAGAAAAAAGGCGATCAAGAGTGTCGGCAGAGAAGGAAAGGACTGGTAGTGAGTTAATAGGGTGATTGAGTTAGGCCATGTTGAGAAGGTGAGATTTTGGCAAAAGCTTAAAGGTGAATGAGTCAGCTGAGGAGATAGCAGGGAGAAGAGTTTTGTGAGCAGAGGAAGCAACCAATCCAGAGTCCCTGAAGCAGGATTCTGTCCAAGGAATAGCAAGGAGGCCAGTATTGTTGTTAGCATAGGAGCTAGCAACAGAGAATACAGGAGGCGAGAAGGTTAGTGTGGCTGTGAGCCAAACTATGCAGGATTTAGCAAGTAAATGGTGCATGAGGGCAACCTTGTACTAAACAGTTATTCATTCTTTATCTGAAATTCAAACTTAACTGGGCATCCTGGGTTTCATTTTGTTTTGTGCTTTTAGCAGCTCTACTTGTAGGCCATTGTAAGGACTTGGCCCTGGACTGAAGAGGTGAAAGGCCAATGCAGGTTTTGCATCAGAGGAGAGACACCATTGTGTTTCGGTATTTAAGGGATTGCTGTCTCTTTTGTGCTGAGAACAGGCCATGGAGAGCACCAGTGGGAACAGAGAGGTTCTGGGAGGCTATTGCAGTAATCGGATGAGGGATGATGATGGCCCAGACTGTAGTGGCAGCAGTGGAGGGGGTGAGAAGTGTTCAGAATTCCAGATATGTTTTGAAAGTCCAACCAAAAGCATTTCATCATGGATTGGACCATATGCTTGAGAGGCAGACAGAATTCGAAGATGACTCCTAGGCTTTTGGCTTGAACAACTGAAAGAACAGAGTTGCCATCAAATGAAAGGAGAAGGACTGTGGTTAGAGCAGATTTGGGAAAGAGGAGTTGAGTTTATTTGGGTATACTGAGCTGAAGACAGGTCATAAGATGGGGCATAGCCATTAGCCACTGAATATTGTGATTTTTTCATAAAAATATTCAATAATGTAAGTTAAAAGGCACACCTTTTAACACACTCACTGGGGACAGATTTTTTTTTTTTTTAATTTAGTGTGCCTTGTATTTTATTACTTAGAGGATCTTCTTTATGCTTGAATGGGCTTTTTAAAGTGGTTAGAGAAAGAGTAGCCAAAACTGGAATTCAGTTTCCTGGTTTCTTCTCCAGGATCTGAACTCAAAGCCAGACTCAATCCCAACTCCCCATTTTACCTGGCAATGGAATTCATTTTTCCATAGATGTTTTTCTTCATTTTCATTCATTTCCTTTCATCTACTCAATGTCAGGAGAAAATAATCTTACTGCCCAAATTCATACTTCCGTGTTCTTTCAGAGGCTGAAAATGTGCCCAGGAGATTGAACAGATTCTTCCCCTCCCCCAGTACCTGGAGCATGGAAGTCTAGAGGTATAGAGTAGCGTGTGAGTCCTCGATGCCCCCAGAGTCTGGCTGGTTTGCTCTGTTCATGTGCCCTTCACTGATTATAAGCGGTTCTGAAGAGAGGACTCTCAATGCCTTTCCTCTTTTAACCCATGTCCTGAATAAAATAATTTTTTTCTACCCTGATGAGCAAGTATACCTTTTCTTGCACAATTATTTTACTTCTTTTTCTTAGATTTGTGGTCCAGTTTAATTTGACAGGTTTGCTATAGCTATATTTAAAATTACCTGTAAAGTTTAAGTCTACAATAGGATTGTGCATTTCCAAGGATCCATGGGAGGAAAAATAAATATTAGTTAGCAAGAAATCTATAAACTGTGGCCTTTTTCCTAGAGGTCTTGCGTACTATGTTGTTTTTAATCATAACATTTTAAATTGGCACACTGTTTCAGCAGGCATTTTTTCTCAATAATGATTATGTTTTGTTTTTATGCTAAAAAGTTAAGTGCTGATTAAATGACAAATTACATATATTATATTTCTTGTGTTTTGCAGGACTCGAGAGGGACAAGTTTGATAATAAGACTGTTTCATTTGAGGAGCATATTAAATCAGAACACAATATGTGGCATTATTTGTACTTCATTGTCCTGGTGAAAGTTAAAGACCCAACAGAATACACTGGACCTGAAAGTTACGTGGCTCAAATGATTGTGGTGAGTGACCAGAGCATTGGAATCTGTGACCATCTGTGTTCTGCACACTTGCACCTTTTCTATCTTTCCCTCCTTTCAGAATAGAATGGCTCTAGCAATGTTTTTAATAAGCCCATAACCACTGAAGAACCTCTGTGTGGCCTAAATTGCTGGTTCCCAGTAGATTTCTTGGTTTTTCACCCAAATCTAAAACTCAAGTGCACATATAATATGCACATAATTCTCCTGTGGGATATTCTGTGCAATGAATAGCATCTTCTCAGTGATGTCTGTCACCTTCTGACCTCATGCCTTCTATCATTGCTGATCTCCTAATTCCCCAAATCTGGAACATTCCTATTGTCAAATGTGAACAAAAGATTTGTGCTTTATGAAATTCCTTGAATTTCAAAAATCAAAAGTTTAAGAAATTAAATTCCATGTAGGAAGAGTATGATATTTAGTCCTAACAGGAGGGTCCTGGTTTCCTGGCAGCATATACTTTGGATTGATTTTCCAGAGTTCATGATGGATTTTCATCGATCCTGCCACATGTCGTTACTTATAGCTCCTCATTAAGATAAGCACAGAGGATGTGGTTGTCCATAATTTGAAATTGCTTCTTTTGTCTCATAGAAAATTAAAACTAACTGGCCCAAAAGGAAGTTAAAGTTGTCACTTTAGCGTGGCACTTTTAATAAGCATAATTACAACTGTATCAATTCTCGTATACTTATAACAAACAAGCCTGTACATTGGGTTTTTATTTTCCTCAAAGACCATCCTACAAAATTGTGTTCACTGTTTGAGAAAGAGATCTTAGAGAATGCATGGTCCTCCTTGCTGCTCGGTTCTCAGGATAATTAGCATCAATGCAATGGGGTCAGGACAGGAGAACTTAGTTAACAGTGGCTCTAGGTCCTTGCCTCTGGGGACTTATCATCCATGTAGAAAAGCAGGGACCCATCAGGAGCAACGAAAGAACATTTTTAGTGAGAAAGATATTGATAAGTGCAGATTGATACAGTAATAATGTTCCTTCCTGTCAATATCAATGTGTCACAAGTAAATGTAAATGGAATTTTTATAAAGTACATGTAAATGGAATTTTAATAGTTCAAGATTTTTCATATTTTTTTTTATTATTGACTTTCATCTCACTGTAAGTTGTTTTCTCTGCATTCATTTGACAGCAGACAGAACCTAATTTGGTCTCTCTTTTTCCACTTTTGCCTTTCTGCCCTCTTCCCTTTTTAAGTTGCGGGGGTGGCTGGTTGGGGGGTGTTAACCATTTGAGGTTGTGCCTTCACAGTGGTCATTTGCACATTCTTGGTCTGGTATGTGAGAAACATTTCGTTTCTGCTTGCTGGGAAAAAAATGGTACATCAAGCATTACATTTTAAATGTGAACTCACATTGCTGCACTATATCAAAGTTTGAATAAATCTAATCAATAGTATTTATTAGGTTCCTATGATATCTTTTAGAATAAAAGATTTCAGGGAATACAGTGAAAAGTCTGCTATATTCCCCTGTGCCAAGGAATTTAGAGCTTAGTCAGAGAGATGGGGGATAGCAAACCAAAAGTAGAAAAGTTCCACACGAGTTATACAAATGAAAATCTGTGAAGTGACATTTAACTGGATGGGGGAGAAGGAGAATTGTGTGTGTGTGTGTTTGTGTGTGTAAGATGGGGTAGGGGGAGAAGAGGGGGCCAGCATAACAGACAGGGCAGGATTTGTGCAGGTAGGGTTTATCTGCTAAATAAAAGTGAGTGCCTGTAGGAAGGAGCAGTCTGAACACAGGCATAAAAGTGGGACACGCAGACCCTCGAGGGATCGTTAGTTGCCCAGTTTTCCCTGGCATCCAGTCCGATTAGAATGAATCCCTGAGAGACGTGGCAAGAAAAGTAGATGGGACTTTTGAGTAACAAATACAGGCATTTGGGTGTTATTTCATCAGCAATGTGAAGCCACTGAATATTATAACTAAGAGGATAGTGTGATCCGGGACAATAATCAAGTAGTGGCACATTGGTGTGTAAGATGGCATTGAAGGGAGGGGGATATAACATCAGAGATGGTATTTAGCAAGGGATGAAATTGAGTGGTGGATGGGGGAGGAGCAGGAGGTGGAAGAGAGCAAGATGAACCTGAGACACCTGACAGTGACAGCCTGGTCATTGGGAGAAAGGTGGTGTGTCAACTTCAGAAAGTCTCTTTGTTAGGAAGAGAAGTTGGTCAGGGGAAAAGACTTGTTGATTTTGAAGTGAGACTGAAGAGCGAGAATTGTGGATTCAAAGGAATGTCAAGGTGGCCACAGTATGAGTCTTGGAGCCAAGAAGATCAAACTTGTGCTCTACTACTTATTGGCTGGGTGGTCTTGGATGTCATAGATGAATCTTAAAACCTATCTGAGCCTCTTCTCAAGTGAAGAAACTATGGCATCTCTCATAGGAGTGCTGTGAGATGTTAAAATGACCTGGTAGAGTGAAGAGACTTGGTAAATGAAGTTCTAATATTGACTGTCCACATGGAAGGACCATTGAAGCCGCCAATCTACAGACTGGTGGGAGAAGGGGGAGAGTGTAAAGAGTGAGGAGAGAGCCCAGAACAGAACCTGGGAGTCCCCCAGAAGAAAGATGAGTGAAATAGATAGAAAAGAAGACAGTAAAGAGGCAGAAGGAGAATCAGGAAGTAGAGCTTGTCAAAAGCCCAGAGATGAGTGTTTCAGGGCCAGAATTCAACAGCAGCAATTGCTGCAGAGAAGCCATAAAGAAGAGACAGGTCACAGCCTTTGGATTTTGTAATGCAGAAATCACCCAATGACCTTTTCCCACAAAAGAAGACTGCTGTGAAAATGTTGACCCATCTTTAGCCTTCACAGTAAAAGCAGCATTTTACCAGGCACTTGTGCTTGGATCTTTAAGTATCCAAGTCCTTATGCATGTTTCTACCCATTCCTCTTCTGTCAGAGCTCTTTCCAGAACCTTGACAGGAGGGATAAGAGCCCACAAGCTTATTCCAGCCTGAAACATCTCATTCTCATCCAAGCAATGCGCATCCCAGGGAACAGGCTCCATTCCTGAATTTTAATGAACAGAGGACAGAAGAGTGGATTAGCTTAGGTCTGAATGGAAACAAAAATTTGTTCACATGGAAGATTGCTCATTTTCTGAAATGGTGTTTTTGGAAAACTAAAAATCTGTAGCTGACAAACTCAGTTCAGAAAATCTGTTACACCAAGCTCCATGGAGACTTTGGTTTCATAATCCCGAGCCTCATAGAGAGACAAGATTTTAGAACATGTATAAGTCGAAGCACGTTTACAGTTGAGTTTGAAGACTGGGAGTTTTTTTCCCCTCCCTCCAGAGATAGCTCCTCTTAACAGTTTGGTAGGAAACCTTCCAGGTGTCTTCCTGCTGCTCTTATTTTTGTTCCTTAAAACATGTTTTTTTACCAAGTTGATGTAGGTGCTTGTTTATCAATAGGCTTTGCAAGGTGCTTCATAATCAATACAGCTTTTACCCATAAGGGTTTATGCAAAAGAAAATGAATTCATCTGAATTTTGTTACACTAAGGAAATCTGATTTGTGCCTTGGGACTTTTAGAAAATGCCTCCTACCTTTTGGTGAAATGGGAAAAACAAGAATATAATATAACAAGTGTGGGGAATGTTTCTCCATCTGGATGATTTCACCTTCAGTGCTTCACCCTTATTCTTTATTACCATGTCAACATGTACATGTATACCAAATATTCATTAAAACATACATTTAAAATAAATTAATATGCTACTTCTATTCTGTGGATTAGAATTTTGGGAAACATGTTTGTACATCTGTATTAATCCAATGATAAAAATCAGGAGTCTGAAATATTAATCAGAACTTAAAACTGCTGTACCCTTTCATTCATACTCTCAGCCAAGATGTTTAGAAGCCAGTGTATGAATATTCAAATTAACACAAAGCATCTGCTGGGATCTTGTTAGGGAAGATGCAGGTAGATCAAGGTATTGGGGAATGTATTTTCTTCTGGCAAGCAAACCCTCATTTTTGATAAAATAATTGATATTTTGAGTTGGTATTTATTGGGAAGAGAAAATAAGGGAAAAGAAGGGCCCACACGGGAAAATAGAAGTAATGAAAGAAAATCCAGTAAACAAGAGGTAAATATAAAGGAATAAATCCCCAGGCCTTCCGAGTAATGGCCTTTGAGCATCACAGAGCCCCTTTGCTTCTTCTATCCAAAAGATGATGACTGAGGAGGAACAGACAAAATAGCAACCATTAGAAAAAAAAATGCCTCAGGCTTTTTAGCTGTTTCTCTAAATTTGGAGGATATTTTCAGTGTTGTTTGCCGAGATATGTTAGGGATCTTTGGAGATGTTTATTACTTAATGCAACAAACAGCAAGACCCAAACCAGAGTTGCATATAAGAGCTGTGTGTGTGCAGAGAACTGCTGCCTCCCCAAGCATCCTGATGGATGGCACTGGGCTGTGACTGAGACCCTGGCTGCTCCCCACCCATCATGACCATGGTTTGCGGGATCATTTCCTCCCGTTAGTGCTTCTTGACATTATGACAATATAAACCAAGACAATTTAATTCATATTTTTCTGAACATAATCATCTGTCTTCACACAGAAAATAATTGTAAGTTTCTTGAAGGCCATATCCAGGTAGATAGTAGCAGTTTGTTCTACACAATACCAGGGCAAATAATGTCTGTAATGTGTATTAAAAGCAATTCAACATCCATTGCTAGTGGCTATGCTAAAAGTTTGATGTATAAGGATGAAGAAGAAACCATCTCTTCCCCCATGAAACTTAAACCATTTATTGAGTAAATCAAAAAAAAGTAAGGAAATTAATAAATAGATGGTTTCTTTTTAGTCTTCTGGCACTTGAACACAATTTATAGAAAGATACAGCAAAAATAGATGGGAGAGAGAGGTACATGAATTTCTCATTAGTCAAATGCTCATTCCCTTCTTTAAAATCAGAAGATAAAGGT